GTTCCACCCGGGCTGCGGGGGGCGGCAGGTCTCCCGGAGGACTCGGCGGGCGCCCAGCATCCGGCTGGAGACAAACGGATGGCCAGGCTGAGGGGGTACAAACTGCCTTGTGAAAAACCAAAGCCCTAAAAACAGTCCAGAGTGAGAAGTTAAAGCTTCTGGTATCGCAGCATAGAAAAAGGTCCAGGGATCGACAGGGCCAGGGCGGCTACAGGAATCTTCTGGTAGAAACTCCAAACAGGAAACGCGGGGCTCTCCCGGGGGCTGGGAGTCCTCGAAGCAGGTCTGTGCCTGTCCTGCTGGTTTCTCTTGGGTGGGGGAAGGGCAGGGAGTGGGGTAGGGCAGTCCCTAGAGGAAAGGAGAAAGCGGGTGTTCAGGTCCTGCGCAGGAGGGAGCGTCCGCCCTGTGGCTGTCACGTGACCTTGAGGCCAGAGCTGCTTCCCAGGCCGCCCTCCGGGTGACGGTGGCTTGTGAACTGCTTTGTCCTTTAGGTTGGGCCAGCAATTGATCCGGTCCCCATAAGGCCTGTCTCCAGAGGAGCTGTCCCCACTGCCCCTCTGGACAGCCTGGTCGGTGCTCCCAGGCTCCGGCCTCGCCCACTTGGACAGGGCACAGAGGGGAGGCAGAAGGGGGAGCGGAGGAGGAGGCACGAAGACCCAGGAGCGGGCAGGGCTCGCGGGAGCCGGGCCTCCTCCGCCAACGCTGCACGGGGCAGGGGACAGGACCTGGTGCCGTGGCTCCGCACTGCTGAGCTCCCACGCACCCCGTCAGCCCTCTCGGCCTCTGCTGCGTGGGGTCCCTGTGGAGTCACTGGGGCAGGCCGGCCGAGGCCCTACCTGAGCTCACTCGCCCAAGATGTCGGTCTCCTGGTGGACGACCACCTTGGTCACGGACATGTCTGGGTGCTGCTCCTTCGCCTCCTTGATGGCTTGGACGAGGACCTACGGAGAGACGCCGGGCCTGAGGTGAGAAGCAGCACCGCTGGTGGAGGCAGGGCCTCAGCCAGCCCCTCCTACACGGGCAGCCCCCACTGCAGCAGACGGGGGTCAGTGCGGCCCGCAGGGGACGGAGGGTGCTGAGGGGACAGCTGCAGCTGCCGGGTGGCTCTAAGGGGACCCACTCGAAGTGACGCCAGAGCACGAGACCAAATCCGTATTCGGCACAGGGTAACCAGGCGGCTCAGGACTGGACGGTAACCGCCCGTGCCAGAGAAAGGAAGAGGGGCCGGCCGCCTCTCACGTGGCTGCGTGGTTTGAGTCCCAGACCCGGCAGCTTGAGAAACACGCCGGGAGCATGGACCTGCACCCCCAAGTCCAGAGTGGAGGGGCACGGAGGAGGGGCGCAGCATGCCCACACCCCACGCTTTCTCGCCTGCGGTCTGGGGAGCACACACGCCCTCCGGCCAGTCGAAATAGCAACAATGAATGAAGGGATGGCTCCTCTGCAGTAGAAGGAAGGAGGGGAGGTGGAGCCCCAGCTCGGCCGGTCTAAGACCTCGGGCCGTCATACAATCTGTTTAGCCTCGCGACAGCTCCGTGAGTCACGGCGGTACCCCGGCTTCCGGGCTCTAAGGAGGAAACGGAAGTTGGGAGGTGCAGACGCCCCCTCCCCACGGCTAGCAAGTGCTCAGCAGGGGCTCAGCTCCAGCCCGGCAGACGCCCTCCTCGCCGCACTCTGTCCCTCACACCAGCACTCTGGGCGCACCGTGCTTTCCAAGATGCTGGGCTAGGATTCGAACCGTGGCCGGGCCGGCCATGTGGTAGCTAGCCTCTTTAACCACCAGACCATGGGGCCAGCCCCCACTGCTCTGTCTTAGTTTCCAAGGGGACCCAGTTTGAGCATCTGGAGGAGCTCTGACCATTTCCCAAAGGAAAAGGGAGGGGGGCCACCACTGCCCGTGGGCTGTCAGTCCCTGAGCCAGCAGGACCCACTGCCAGGATGCCCAGCTCCGATGCAGCCAGGAGGGACCAGGTAGGG